ATACTGCCATAAACTAATTGCGGTAACTAGGATAGTGGAAATAACAGAAAGCTGAGCAGAATAATTAAAGTAAAAAGGGTAGTGTGAACCGTCCATTGGTCCACGTGTGAGCCGAGCCCTGATCCATGTGAGCTTGATGCACCGCATCATTCTTCCCCTCCCTCAGAAGCATCCGACTCGGATGATGAAATGTTGGTAATTCCAGTATCTGGTGGATGATAGGCTATGAGATCTCCAATGTTAAAAGTTGCGGACATATTGTAATGGCTCGGCAGATCGACGACATAAGCATTGGGGTTGATACATTTGAGGACAGCAAATGGTCCTATTTTCTTCTTACTCAATTTAGAATACGTCCCCTGAGGGAAGCGCTCACGCCGGAGGCGGATCATCACCAACTCTCCTGGTTGAAAACTGCGGGCTTTGCGGTGTAGATCAGCGTCTTCCTTGTATTTCTGATTGGCTCTAACCAGCTGTTGGCGAACTTCCTCTATCATGGTACTGAACTGCTCTGCGAATGCAGTTGCGGTTTTGCTGTTACACTTCGGCAGGACGGCAATGTCTACCGTATGATTCGGTTCCTTCGTATACACAACGCTAAAAGGGCTTCTACCAGTAGACCGATTGGTCATACTATTATATGCAAATTCGGCTTGTCCCAATAGTTCGTCCCAGAGTTTTGGATGCTCCTGTACCAAACATCGAAGTAAATTTCCCAAAGTCCGGTTGACTACCTCAGTCTGACCGTCCGTTTGAGGATGATAAGAGGAGCTGAGCTTAATTTCTGTGTGAAGTCGTCTCCAAAGCTCTTTCCAGAAGTTGCTAATGAACTTAACATCTCGGTCAAACGTTAAGCTGCGGGGCAGGCCATGTAGTCGCACAATCTCTGCGAAAAATATACGAGCGACATTCAAAGCATCGAAGGTTTTTTTACAGGCTACGAAGTGAGCCATCTTTGAGAAGCGATCAACTACCACCATAATCGAATCATGACCCCGCCGGGTTCGAGGGAGACCCAATACAAAGTCGAGACTTAAGTCTTCCCAAATTGTTTCAGGCGTCGGCAATGGCAAATACGGTCCCTGTAAGTTTCCACCGGTTTTGTAAGTTTGACAGACGGAGCATCGCTCTACGAATCTCATTACATCACGGTGTAGATGAGGCCAATAGAACCGGACCTGCATTTGCAAATAAGTGTTGTTGCGCCCCACATGAGCAGCTAATCCCCCACAATGAATATCTTTAATTAGCTGAGGCCTCCAGGAAGAATCTGGGATACACAATTGATTGTGTCGGAACAGGAATCCGTGCCGCAGTGAAAATTCCCGCACTTGTTCTTGGTGTTGGCACTCTTCCCAGATCTTGGCGAAATCATTATCAGTGGCGTATAATTCTTTTAAACAATCCAATCCTGTGATTTCGGTTTGTAGTTGCGTTAGAAGAGAATGTCGCCGGCTGAGTGCATCTGCAACCTTGTTTTGTGATCCCGCCTTGTGATTTAATACGAAATTGAACCTTTGCAAGAACAGAATCCATCTAGCGTGCATACGGTTGATGTGCTTCTGGCTATTAATGAACTGCAGTGCTCGATGGTCGCTGCTAAGAACGAATTCCCGATGTAGAAGATACGGTTCCCACTGTTTGAGAGACCGCACCACCGCGTAGAGTTCCTGTTCGTAAACGCTCCACATCTGTCTTGCCGGACAGAGCTTTTCACTGAAATACTCCACAGCTCGGTTCTCTTGGCTCAAGACTGCTCCAATGCCGATCCCTGATGCGTCGGTGTCCACATGAAATGGTTTATCGAAGTTTGGTAAAGCCAGTACAGGCGCCGTTGACAAAGCCGACTTGATTGCAGAAAAACTAGATTGCTGTTCTTCTCCCCAAAGGAATTGCTTGAGCTTTAAACATTCGGTGATAGGCGCCATAATAGTGCTGAAGTGCTGGATAAATCGGCGATAAAAGTTGGCGAGTCCATGGAAGCTACGGACATCAGTGAACGAACGGGGTGTAGGCCAAGACGTGATAGCCTCCACTTTACGTTGATCCACTTGAACGCCTGCAGAGGAAATGACGAAGCCCAAAAAATACACAGCAGGTGAAGCAAAGTCACACTTACTTGGATTCAAGTATAGCTGATTTTGACGAAGAGCAGTCAAAATCTTCACTAAATGCTCGCAGTGACGTTCCAGGCTGTTGCTATATATGAGTATATCATCGAAGTATGCAACGCAGCACTCATTCATGAATGGTTTAAGGACTTCTGTCATTAGCCGCATGAAGGTCGAGGGTGCATTACACAGCCCAAATGGCATGACTCGCCATTCATATAACCCATGACGAGTTTTGAAGGCTGTTTTCCACTCGTCGCCCGGGCGAATTCGTATTTGATGATACCCACTACGAAGATCCAGTTTTGAGAAAATGGTGGCTCCGGTCAACTTCTCCAGCAATTCTTCAACTCTCGGCACTGGAAATCGATACTTGACAGTAATTTTATTGATCGCGCGACTATCCATGCATAACCGCCATGACCCGTCCTTCTTCGGAACAAGGAGCGCTGGGACAGCACATGGACTTAAACTGGGCTGTATCAAATTGTTTTTCAGCAATTCATCCACCAATTGCTGAAGGGTTTGATCTTCCATGGGACTTAAGCGGTGATGAGGTAAATTAGGCAATGTCGAGCCCGGAATTAAGTCGATTTGGTGTTGCAGCGATCGCAGGGGCGGTAGTGTCGTTGGTGCTGGGTCAGCCATTACATCCCGAAACTGATCCAATAGCTGAGCTATGGGTAAAGGAGTTGCTCTGTTTTTTCTTGTAGGACCAGATTCCCGCAAAATCAATGCAAACAGCATAGTCTGTTCTTGGCACAAGTTCATCAAGGCATTACCGGTCACAAAATGCAGTTCTGATGGCATCAAGCTGGGTTTGTCCGCCGAAGAAGAATGCGGCAACAAGCGCAGGCGTCGGCCTTTCCACTCTAGAGAGTAAGTATTGGCTCGTCCATCGTACATTGCTCCAACGTCGAATTGCCATGGCCGTCCCAAGATTAGATGACAAACATCCATATCCACCACATCGCATAGGACTTCGCAGGAGTAGTGTTTTCCAATTGAAAATTGGACTCGACACATATCAGTGACGGAAATCTCCATGCCTTTCTTGACCCAGCTAATTTTATAAGGCTGTGGGTTTCTTGTGGTTTTCAGTTGAAGAGCTTGGACCACAGCTCGTGATATCACGTTCTCAGTGCAGCCGCTGTCCACCAGCAGGTCACACACCTTTCCGGCTATAGTGCATTTGGTCTTAAATATAGAATGCCTCTGAGAATTGATGGCTTTCTTTGGAGCCAGGAGTAATTTTTCCAGTACACACATAAGTGGTTCACCTTCGTCAGCAACAACATCCTCGACCAATTCAGTGAGTTCCTCCTCTGGAAGTTCCGGATCCAGCTCTGCGTCGCCATCAAGTATATGTAATTGTTGTCTGTTTGGGCACTCATTGGATTTGTGCCCAGGCTGAAAACATCTGAAGCATTTGAGACCTTGCGGTCTTGGATATGGATTGTCTCTGATGGGGCCTCGCGGTTTGGCTACCACCTTGGGTTCCACCGTTTGCTTCAGTGCGCCTTCAGACGTGCTGATTTCTCCTCCAGGCGGTGTTTTTCGGACAATTGTCCCAGGTGTTTTGGCGAGTTCATATCCAGTCTCCACTGTATGCCGCCGTTGTGAACTCCCCCGTCCATGCCGAGCTAGCTGTAATTCCGCTTTGAGAGCGAAATTCACTGCTTGCGAGAGCGACCAAACTGAGTTTAACTCTAGTTTATCCTGTATAGAATCTCTCAATCCACCAATGTAGCGAGCAACTAATTGGTTAGTGGTTTCGTTCAAATCATTTCGTGCGGATAAACTGTAAAACTCTTCAGTATATTCGCTCACTGACCTCTGATTTTGAGAACAATGTTGATACTTCAAGTATAGCATTTGTTCGTAGTCAGTGGGCAAAAAGTGTCCACGCAGGAGTCGTTTCATCCGCATCCAGCTCCGAACAGGGCCCTTGCCTTCTCGCCGCCGAGATTGTAACAACTGAGACCACCACGCACTCGCACCGCCTTTCAGTCTACAGGCGACGTATTTGACTTGTTTCTCCGGCTCTATCTCCATATAATCAAAGAAAGTTTCTACCGCACGTTCCCAGTCGAGATAATCTTCGATGTGCAGCTTACCGTCGAAGAAAGGTATGTCCAGCTTGACACGAAATTCTCCCTGATGTCGGCTACGGCCTTGGAAGCGATGCGGTCGTCGGTCGTCAATGTCCACATCGGAATCAGAATTTACGGTCCGCCAATTAGTGTCGAATTCTTCGTCAGAATCCGATATCTCCGGTAGCAATGCTGCTCTCCGGCGACCTCTATTCGGAAATCCCCTGACTCCTTCAACTGGAGTGATTAATGTCGGAGCAGGTCTGCCCAACCTGATTGGTTCTTCCCCCTGTCTGCCGACTGGTGGCTCTCGTCGTAAGACAGCGGTGAGACGATCTACAGCCATAGCTATGTCGTCCAGTCGTTTTTCAACTCCAGCGTGCGCAGCCCAGAGCGCCTCCAAGCTCCGGTCATCACCGCTCGCCGCACGCTTGCTAGACTCTGCCATCTTACCGAGCCGCGGGCTCTGATACCAGCTGAAGAGGTATACTATGGTAGAAGCAGATAAGCAGATGAGAAAACTAACAAGAAGGCAATGGAACAGTGCAAAAGGCTAAAGCCAAATTGTATATTTCATAAGCTGCATCTCCTTCTTCTCAATGAGAAGATAAACAGTAAAATATTACTATATCTAGAAAAAGCCAAAAAGTGCATACTGCCAATAACTAATTGCGGTAATTAGGATAGTGGACATAACGGAAAGCTGAGCATAATAATTAAAGTAAAAAGGTAGTGTGAACCGTCCATTGGTCCACGTGTGAGCCGAGCCATGATCCCTTTGAGCTTGATGCACCGCATCATAACCCCTCGTCCCCAAACGATCTAACTAACCCAGAGACGAAAGAAAGGGATTAGGGTTTTAGGGCTTCCGTCGCCGTGTCAATGGCGCTCTCTTCCTCGACAGCCTTCCGCAGGATAGTACAGGGAACTTCATCATCATTTTCCCAACTGAAATTAACCTTCTCACCCAGCCGTCAAAGCTCTTCCTTTCCCCTGGATGAAGACAGTGGCATCAAAGAACTTCCTCCATTGTCCACCCCTAAGCTTTTCGTCAGCGGTGAGTTTTAGGGCTTTCGCTCCTCCATGTTCGCTCGATTAAATAGTGAAACAATATGTTATTGGCTTTGACTTCTTTCAGAACTTTTGTATGAAAAGGGAAAACACATCAATTGACGAATTACTGAGAGAGGTAAAAGAGAGAAGATGAAAACAAAAGCGAAGGGAGAGCAGAAATCCTCTTTGCCTTTCTTTTCTTTTTTCTCCATGAGGGGGGAGAGAAAAACAAAAAAAACAAGAGAGAGAAACCTGAGAAGTGATGGAATAAAAAGAAGAAAATGAAGATAACCATTTTCAATTGACTTACTGGAGCCTGCTATTTACTGCCATCAACATGTCGTTTTTTAGCTATTCTCTAAGGAGATGTGATGTGTTAGATTTACCTGTTATTGTGTTAGGAAAGTTACATGAACCACTCCTGGCCATTCTTTAGGTTGCAGGAAGGATTTGATCTGGTTTAGGTTATAATTAGCAATTAGTTGATTAGCGAAGCAGCAACCAATCACTTTTGATTAAAGATTTATGACCTTTTGAGCTCCCATTGAAGAGAAAGAAGTGGATTTAAGAAGAGAAGTGGCTTGCTAATGAAGGTATGGGAATGGATAATGAAACTTATGCTTGGAAATTTTACTTATCGTGGAATCATTTTTCTTTTATGGAAAGAATATCTATTATATTTGTGGTAAGGCAATGTATGAATAACTAAATATTTCAAAGTAAGCGCGTTGCTGATTTTTATCATTGAACATGAAAGGTCCATGATTGAAACCTTCTCGCCCTTTACTAAAAACCTCTGAGAACATGGAGATTCAAGCATAATGCTGTAAAAATTAATAAAATCGGATATAGAGTTTTAGCCGTAAAGATTGTTGTTGATGATATGTTTATTAATGTTATAAGTGCTTATGATCTTCAAGTAGGTTTGGATATGCGTTCAAAATTAAAATTTTGGATTTAATTATAAGAATTAATACAAATGATATCTTTTGAAGAAAAAGTTTTTATTGGAGGAAATTTAAATGGATATGTTGGTAAAGATTTAGATGATTTTAAAAGCATTTATAGTGGCTATGGGTTTGAAGTGATTAATGAATGTGGTAAAACCATGTTAGATTTTTTTATAGCTTATGACTTTGCAGTTACTAATACTTTATTTAAAAAAATAAATGAATAGCTAATCACTTATAAGAATGGATATAATAAAACTCAGATTGATTACTTTCATATAAGAAAAAGAAATCGTTTAAATTGTAAAGATTGTAAAATTATAATAAAAGTTTATGTATCCAACATCGCTTATTAATTTTGGACCTTAAAGTAAATGGACATAATATAAAAAATAAAGTAAAACGTTGTTGTAGAATGATTAGATGGGGGCTTTTAAAAAATATTAATAAAAATATTTTTCAAAGTAATATTTTAGATCTTAAGATTTTGTTTGTGCAAGAGAAAACTAATGTTATGTGAGAAAAGTAGATAGTGATATTAAGTATGTTGCAAGAGATGTGCTTGGAGTATCAAAAGAAAACTCTTAATACTAAAAATTGTTGGTGGTGGAATCAAAATGTATAAGAAAAAATAAAAAATAAGAAGATTTGTTATAATATTTGGTTTATATGAAAAAATTCTGATAATTGAAAAAGATGTAAAGAGGCCCGTAAGGAGTTTAAGAAAGCAATATGTGATACAAATACTTTAGCTTTTAATGATTTATATAATAAGTTAGATACTGAAGGTGAAATATATATGTATAAGTTAATCAAATAATGAGATAAGAGTAATAAGAATTTAATGTAAGTGAAGCGCATTAATGATGAAAATTAAAAAGGTACTTTTATTTTAAGAACATATTCAATAAAGGTGGATGAGATATTTTGTTAAACTTTTTAATGAAGATTGTGAGAATATGATTGACTTTAGTGACCTTAACATCCTAAATGAAAATAAAGATTTTTTTTTTAAATGGTGTATTAGTAAAATTGAAGTTAGAGAGGCTTTAAAAAAATGAAGTGTGATAAAGCTGTTGGACCTGATGATATTCCAATAGAGGTGTGGAAATGCTTAGGAGATGAAGGAATTTCTTAGCTTACTAAACTTTTTAATATTATTTTGAAGACTAAAAGGATGTGAGATGGGTGGAGAATGAGTGTGTTGATTCTTATTTTTAAGAATAAATGTGATGCACAAGATTATGTGAATTATAGATGAATTAAGTTAATGTGTCATACTTTAAAACTTTGGGAAAGAGTTATGGAGCATAGGTTACGACATGGTACTAGTGTTTCTCAAAATCAATTTGGATTCATGTCAGGTAGGTCTATTATGAAAGCTATATATTTATTGAGAGGTTTGATGGAGAAGGATAGAAAGAATAAGGAAGGTCTTCATATGATATTTATTGATTTAGAGAAAACATATGATAAAGTTGCAAGAGAAGTGTTATGGAAGGTTCCATAAAAGAAAGGCATTAATAATGCTTATATTAAAGTCATTAGGGATATGTATGCATATGCTCTTACTTGTGTTCAAACACAAAGTGGTTTGACTAAGTATTTTTCTATTTTTGTTGGATTACATCAAGGATCGCCTTAAGCCATATTTTTTTGCTTTAGTCATGGATGTTCTCACTAGACATTTGCAAGAGGTTGTACCCCGGTGTATGCTTTTTGCTGATGATATTCTTCTTGTTGATAAGATTACAGAGGGAGTTGGAGGTAAACTTGAATTATGGAGGTCAACCTTAGAATCTAAAGGTTTTTGTTTGAGCAGATCTAAAATTAAACATATGGAGTGTAATTTTAGTAGTAATAGATATAGTGGAGGGTTTGTGACTTTGGACGATCAAGTCATTAATAAGAGTACATGTTTTAGATATTCTGGGTCTATTATTCAGAGTGATGGTGAAATAGATGGGGTAATTATTAGCATAATTCAAGTTGGATGGTTGAAGTGGAGGATTGAGTCAGGCTTATTGTGTGATAGAAATGCCCTCTCAAACTTAAGGAAAAATTATATACGATGGTGGTGAGACCTGTAATGCTTTATATTGCAGAATGTTGACTATTAAAAGAGAAGCATAATATTAAGTGTTACAGAGATGAGGATGCCCAAGTGGATGAGTGGTTTTACTCTTAGAGATATGATACAAAATGAGCATATATGTGAAAAAGTTGGAGTTGCTCCAGTGGAAGATAAGATTAAGAGAGAGTCGCCTTAGATGATTTGGTCACATAAAACAGTAGCCTTCCGATGACCGGGTTAGGAAAATAGATGTATTAGATTTGACTTATGTTAAGAAAGGTAGAGGTGCCTAAAAAGATTTGAGTAGAAAATATTAAAAATGACCTTTCTTTTTTAGATTTAAATGAGAATTTGACTCTTAACAAGACACAATGGAGAAAAAATATTTATATGGCAGACCCCACATGGTGGGATAAAGGCTTGATGTTGTTGTTGTTGTATGTGAGAGAAAATTGTGCTTTTTAGTTGTATTTGCAGGCCTATTCAACAAAATAATTCCTGGACGGCTGTGACTTCCATGATTTGTCATTTAAGCATGTCTATAATACTATCATATTAACGGTTTAATTGTTCTGAAGCAATTGAACTTTAATCTGCACACCTTATTGACTAGTGACTAAACATCGCAACTAATATGGATATGATGATTTTTTTTTTTTTTTTTGAGAAGTGATATGAAGTTTCTTGAAGAATAAGTAATGCACTGTACAAAAAAAATTTTGCAGCACGATCTTAGGCACCTATTGGCAAAGACTACAAAGCACTAAAGTGGATGAAGTGGCTATTTTTGGTCTGTCTCTTAACATAATAACAGGCTACTATTTTTCTCAATCCTCTTCTGTCATTATATCATTATGTAATAGTTTGAAGTGTTACCTCTACCAAAACATCAAGGTGATACAAAAGTTTCTTATACACTGAAAAAGCTTTCACTGGTATGTCATTTCAGTGTATGATTGTTTTACATACAGAAAACCTTCATGTTTGACTTATTTTTCCAGAATGGAGGCGCCTGCTATAGATATTTGCATAATATTAGTTGACGATATGTACAGCAACAGGTATGGGTCTAGGACAATTGTGCTTGATTTCATAATAGATATTTGGTTGAAATTTGTAAGAAAAGGTCCTAGACTGCACTTCAGTGCAAGAACTACCATTGTCTTGATTTTACGTGCCTAGAGTGCCTTTGCTCAGCACGGTTGTAAAGGCTGTTTTCCTCCCAGGATCGTCCGGGACGAAGTGGATCGTCCCGGGACGATATGTACAGATTGTGAAGAAATCTGCATGTTCGTTTGTACAAACCTGGGACAATCGGGACGAACCGTCGGGACGAACTGAACCCGAGAGTTTCGTCCCGGGACGACGAAATTGGCATTTAATTTCGTCTGGACGATCTGGTCCACGATCTGGTCGTCCCGGGACGATCGGGAACATCGTCCGGGACAATCCTGCTTAATAAATATCCGATTTAAGTCGTTTTGAAGAGAGAGAAAGTCCAGGAGAGAGAAAATCAAAGGGAAAAGAAGAAAAGTGGATTTTTGGGCCACTTCCGTCCATTTTCGTCCGTCACCGTAAAGTTGATCGACTCGAAGTAAGGCACATTCCGCCTTTCTCAATTTTCAGAAACGTGGATTTTGACGACTTTTCTGTTCCGGATTTTGTTTCCGTTAGCGAATTTATGGTATTTTCTTCTGACAAAGGTTTTACCGCGTAACTTTTGGTATGTTTTTGAGATGATAATTGTGCACGTTTTGAGTATTTTCTAGAAGATTTTTACTGGATATTTTGAATTCTGCGCGTTTTAATTGAATTGCAAGTTATCAGGATGTTGAAAAATGTTATGTCAGTACAATGAAAGTCTTATAATGTTGTGGATATTCTGTGATAATTTGGTAAATTTCTGAATCTGTGAATTTTGTGTAAATTCCGTATACTGCTGTTATACTGCTGATTTTTCGTACGAATTCTGATTTTTCTGAATTGATATATTGGATGAATTGAAGTGTTTGTATGCTATCAGAAGGGAGTTATAAGGGGCCAGAATCATTTGAGATTCTGTAAGTGTCAGGGAAATCTGAAATGAGCTCTGAAATATGAAAATAAGTTATGTTCCGAAAATTCCGTATATCTGTTCTGTTCTGGTGCTATAAGCACAAAGGGAGACATAAGGGGCCAGAATCCGTCGAGATTCTGTAAGTGTCAGGGAAGGGAGGCATAAGGGGTCAGAATCCGTAGAGATTCTGTAAGGGTCTGGGAATCTGAAATCTGATATGTGATATGTTATCTGAAATCTGATGTTTGATATCTGATAATATGTTCTGTGATTTATCTGATCTATTTTATGAATTATCTTATATGAACGTGATTTTATCTTATTTCTGATTTCTGTACGATTTTGGTTATTCCGTACGATTTTGTCTGCTCTGTGACTTGAAGCTTTATGATATCTGTTCTGAACTCCGATTCGAAATGACTTCAATTTTCTGTATCAGTTGTTTGATTTCTGTTGATCAAGTATATGTTCTACGATTTTCGTACGGCTATTTTCTAATGTATTTTATGATGTGAATTTCTGATGATTTTGATTGGTGAGTGATGTCTTGCTGAGCTGTGTTAGCTCATCCTTGTTTTCTACGTGGTTTTCAGGTTCTGGGAAAAGGAATGAGGTATTGGACTAGAAGTTCTGTGTCTGATCTGAGATTATGTATTTTATACTTTTGATTTTTGTACAGTCATGTCTTTTCTGTTATATTCTGTTCTTTCTGTCTGTAAGCCATGTACTGTATCTGTATATATGATTGTTTTGATGAAATAAAATATAGATGAACTGTTCTGTATTTGGATGATTATAGTAGCTCTGTGTTTTCATGTTTATTTGATATTTGGAAGAAAGTCTGAAGCAAATTCCAAAGCTAGATCCTGGATTTTCAAAGGTTCCGTCGCGGCCCGATGCGAGCGGGATCCGTCCCGATCGGGTTGGGTCGTGACAACGGTTGTGTTCGAGTTTGTGTCTGCATCAATAATGACCAATCTAGTCTTGTTTTGCAGGTTTCTCCCTTCAGGAGTTTGCAACAATTAGCATTAACAACATTCTCTCAACTAATGAATCCAATTGTTTTATTTACCTAAATAATATAGACATAGATTAAGATCCTTGATTGGGAACAGGAACACCATGATTGTCATGAGCTGGCCTATAAACTGGACCTTTTACCATAAATAACTTTTTGTATAACTTTCATATTAATGCAAGGTATATTGGTAGAGGGAGATAATGCAAGTGTTATGATGCATATGCAAAGAATGTACAAGGAAGCCAGGTGGAAGGATAGAGCTCAGAATTGGAATGATTTGAGCTGGATTCATTTGTGCAATACGGTCACATTATTGTGCCCAAAACGTTAAGGACATTTTTTGTGGAAGTATAGAGATGGAAATTCTTTGTTTTTGCCTCAAGAGTTTGTTAATATTCTTGAGGAATTGTTTGTCTAGTTTTGTTCTTTTGTAGATGACTTTTTAGTTGTTCTTTGTTTTAGTTTCTTGGTTGCTTTTAACCTTTGGCCTCATTTGACGCAGCTTATTTTCACAAAAAATGAAAACGGCGTTTATCGCTGTTTGAATATGTCGCTTATGTGAAAATGCTTTTTTGCATAACTTCGCTTTTTTACTGTTTTGAAAAGTTTTTTGATATATGCTTCTCCGTTTGAGAACTCCATTTGTTTCACCAATATTTTTAAAACTACCTTTTATAAAAGTTAAGGGATAACCAAACGGAGCCTTCATTTGTTGATTGCAATGAAGCAGAATGTTCAAGTATAACTTTCATATCAACGTCAGTTCTATTTTTTTGCTTAACGTTTTCATCTCTTTCAGGGCTCTCCAGATTAACTACTGATGAAAAACTTAAAGATGCATTTTCACCTTTTGGCCAACTGCTTGAAGGTTTCCTTTCTAACATCATTGATGTCTTTTATCTACTTTGCATATTAAAACATAAATATATATATATATTTGTTCTAATTTTGCAGCCAAAGTTATCACCGATCGAGCCTCTGGAAGATCCAAAGGGTTTGGGTTTGTTAGTTATGCAACGATTGAAGAGGCAGACAAAGCTCGTTATGCAATGAATGCCAAATTCTTGGATGGATGGGTAATCTTTGTTGATCCTGCCAAGCCAAAAGAACGAAGGCCTCTCACAACCTCCTCACCTGAACCTGAGGCTTCTGAAACTGGTTTCAGGTCTAACAAGACAATTGGATGGTGTGGTTGATTAAAGCCCATGCATGCATTGTATTTATCTTGTATTGAATTGAATTTAAGAACAGAAAGTTATGAGCTTTACTATCTTAAATGAATTATGGTCATCTTCTACCATTTGATTTAATCTAATTATAGTGAAAATCTCACTTCATCGATGCTTTATATGGTGCCAAATGTAGGTTTCGTTGTTTTGGGATAGTTTTTTTACTGTTTGATAAGATTTGCTAGAAATATTATTTGCATTCAAGCACAAATCAGTGAGATTTATTTTTATTCTCAATTGGCTACTTATATGCTATGAACTGGAAAGATGTAATTGCCTTTTACTATGACTATATTATCTTCTTGTTGCTCATTTGGGAGATTTGATACCAATGCTTTTACTAATGGTAGAAGTGTAGCTTTGAAATTTGCATAGTCTAACATGAAATTTGAATCAATACAAGAATCTAGCGCTCACAGTAAAATGAAAAAGTTTGAATATATTTTAGTAAGCATGTATTTGAGAAAGAATGTAATGGCATGATCTTTGCTTTAGTAGTCAATAAAATTGAATAATGAAACCCCAAGTGACTTTATGAATAAGGTTGAGATGATTTTAATGACATTTGTATTGATAAACTTTGAAATGAATTATTATCACTTGAGAATCTAACATGTTATTGACATACTGGATTGTCTAATTTGTGATTATTCTAAGAAATGATTTATTAGGAAAGCATGAGTCCTTGCATTGTACTTAATTTATTTAAAGCTATTTTATTTTAGAATGGATCAATCAACAACTTTAGCTCATAGTGTGTGTGAAAAATTTGACATTGCTTGGAATCATGTAGTGAGAGTAAAGGCGCGGGTGGAAAAAAACTAATTTAAATAGCTATATTATATGAATACTTATAAAGGTAGAGGTATTAATATGATGAAACAACATCTAGAAGGAATCATATGTAATATTGCTTCATACAAAAAAGTCTCACATGATGTTCGTCACAAATGTAAGAAAATTTGAAAGAAATAAGTAAGAAAAAAATAATAAACACAGGAGGTGTTTGAGCAGAGTATAGTTGTTTTTGTTTATGAATCTGTGGATGAAGAAAGAAGTTCTTCGGCACTTCCCAAGTCATAGTCTTCAAATGTACAACATGAAAACATTGATAGAGGAAAAAAAAAGAGATAGAAGACGGAATTTTTTTTTGCACTGAGAACTAAATTAGGCTCCCAACCATCCTTGAAAAAGTGTTATAGCATCCAAAGAAGCCATACACTGTGCTGATTTGGCTATAGTAATTTTATGACAGTTGAATCCCATTTAATACCATAAATTCTGCTTTTGTACCAAAGACAATTGATGCTGAAGGCCTATAGCTATAATTGGACCTGGGTACAATCTACCATCATACTAAAAATTGAGAGTGAATCAAAGAAATGATTATTTATAGAAATATGTTGCACACTCATGACTGATGGTTAGATTAATAACATAAATAGGACCTTGATTAATTTTTTTGTGTACTGTCCAAAGGTAATAGCTTTATTGAAATGTGTAGATGCTTCTAATATTACAAATGATGTCACGATTGTGTTCATTATTTTGTGAGATTGTGGAGCGGGTATGACCACATAATATTGTGCAATTTATAACTGATAATGAGCAAACTACAAGAAGGCATGAGAACTACTACTTGAAATATTTGACAATATATAGAGATCTCCATGTTCTACTTATTGCTTAAATTTTATTCTTAAAGATATTGGAAACATGCTACATAATGCATATTCATGAACTTGCAAGAAAAACGTCAAAAGTTACAATTTTGGTTCACAATCATATTTTCAATTTGGCTTAGTTAAGAAAAAGGGTTGGTTGGAAGGAAATTATTAGGCATAGAGCGACTAGATTTGCTACAACAGTTATCACTTTGAAAATTATATATGATCATGAGCTATACTTACTGGCTTTTATAACAAGCAAAGTTTATTTTGATTCAAATATATCTAAAGCAGAGAAATAAAAAGAAGTATCATCCATTATTTTAGACATAAAATTTTGAAATGATTGTTTATTGACTTCCAAATTATTTAGGCTTTTAATTCGATTATTATGAATTGTTGATTATAATGAAAACCATCTCTAGTGTTTCCTTATGATGATATGTACAAAGCAAGAAGAGCTATTAAATCCAAATTAAAAATTGTCAACAGAATGTACAAACTTTATATAAGTATTATAAAGAGAATATGATATACTCATTTAAAAAAAATGATATAATCATTTAAGATAAGACATACAGTGTGCAACATATTTTCTTAATCCTTATTTTCAATATGATAACAATTTTTTTTGTCACAAACCTGAAGTGCTGCAAGATTTAATTGAGTTCATTGTTAATAAATAGATATATATGTTATAAACTATCATCATCAATGAATGAGATTGGACCTTTTCTTGATAATTTAGAAAACTTCGGCAAATCAATCACATTAACAATGGCCAAAGAAATACAACAATAATTTTTATGTGCATTTGTTCCTTCATGCATACAAATTACCTATTAACTAACTAATACTTGACTATTTATAGATGAATTATGAAAGATGTTTAGCTCAAGTCCACCAAATTTGTAGAAATTGACTGTTATGATTTTTAGCTGAACATCTTCATCTTTTGAATGTGAAAAAAATTGGAGTGTATTTGAGCAAATTCACACCATGAAACGAAATCATCTAGAACATCAAAAGCTCAATGATCTTATATTTGTTCGGGACAATCTCAATTTAAGATATAGAAATGACTTTTAATTATTTTTAAATATTCCTATATATAAAGATGTATAATTTTTTATAATTATTCATATTAGTTTTTGTTGCATCCAGGAGTATTCGCGACGGTAGAGAAATATAAAGTTTATCGTCTTAGCGTTGTATGAAAATCTAGCATGCAATCAGATAAGAGAAAGGGTCTAGCATTTATGAGACACCAAGATTTTTACGTGGAAAACCCCTAAAAAGGGGGAAAAATCACGGGGCCTAACCCAGTTTGAATAAATCCACTAGTACTGTAGTCGATTACAAATGAGGCCCTTCCTTGGGAGAAGACTGTTGACCTCATTATTCGAGGTCAATTTCCCCAGAATCAATCTCTAGTGCTTAGGTTTTTCGTAGCCTAGCGTAGATGTCGCACCCATAAGATTTCTCATAGGTGGATACCCATTGACGTAGCATCGACTAAAACCTACCATTCAATTCAAATCAAAATCAATTCGATCTAGTTTCAATTTTACTCCAAAACGAACTCAAATCAAACCCGATTTATGATTCGTCAATATCGATCGACTCAATCTAATTTATTTTCGATCAAATTGATACATTATTGGGTTCAAATCAACTCACCATTCAAACCCAAATTTCTTTCTAATAAAGTCGGATTTAATTTTTCGATCAAATCGAATCAACCTTTAAATCTTTCTTTAATCCTAGCCCTCTATTTGAATTGAGAGATAGATAGTTTCATTTAGACCAATTAAGACTGAAATTGATTCAAAGAAATGATTAACATTATTAAAACCAAAACGAAATAAGAGTTAGGGCTAGTCTAACCGAACCCAACGACACCAAGATCAACCCAATCCGAGCCCAAATGAGACCGAATCAAGGGCTCAAAGCGCAGTTGGAAGGTTCAAACTGCAATTTGAGTTACCAAACGATCTCCGATTTTGACGAGCTTATACTCGAATCGAACGGCTCGACGAGACGAATCCAATGAGCCCAAGATCACCGAATTCCGAAATCATTAAGGCCTTGGGGGGGGGGGTGTAAGTTTGTTGTCGTGTGGTTTAATCCAAGGATAGCAAAGGCAACCAAATATTTTGAGATGACTGAGGTTTGGACTAGCATTGTAGAGAACAGTGTAAGGAGATTTGTTGTTGGTGTTCGGCGAAGGTAGACGATTGATAAGGTAGACTGCGGTAACGAGGCTGTCGGCCCAGAGGTGATTGGGTATAGATGTGGTGAGGAGGAGAGTACGGACGATTTCAGTGATGTGCCGATGCTTCCGTTCAGCGGTGCCGTTTTGAGGTGGGGAATACGGACATGTAAACTGATGTAAAATGCCTTGGTTTGTTAAGTGAATTTTAAAGTAATTGTTAATGTATCCGCCTCCGCCGTCGGTGCGAAGAATTTTGATTTGTGCTTGAAATTGGCGGTAGATCATGTTTTGAAATTCTAAAATTTTTGCAAATACTTCAGATTTTTATTTGAGCAGATAAACCCAGGTGAATTTAGAGTGGTCGTCAATAAAGCTAACGTAGTATTTGTAACCGTAGGTGGAGACAAAGGGGGAAGGTCCCCAAACGTCCGAGTGAATGAGATAGAAAGGAGCCGAACTAATGGTTTGAGATTTAGTAAATGGCAAACGGTGGCTCTTGGCCATTTTACATGAGTTGCAATGAAATTTAATAGAAGAAATACAAATGTTTGAATCTTGATGAGCAAGATGAGAGAGCGTGGCGGAGGATGGATGTCCGAGTCGGCGATGCCATAAGTCGGGAATGGACTGAACTGAGAGGAGAGCCAGTTGAGAGGTGTCGTTGGCGGTGTGGTGCTTGACCGAAATGGGATAGAGGCCGTTAATAGACGGACCCTTGAGCAGAGTTCGGTGGGTCTTCCGATCCTTGAGTTCATAACCATTAGATGAAAAAGTTATAAGACAATTATTGTCGTGAGTAAGTTTGTGAACAGATAATAGGTTGAATGAGATTTTTGGAACGAGATTTAGATGAGATAGGTGGAGACTACCTTGCGGGGTGAGAAGTAGACCTTTACCAACGTTTTGAATAGGGAGTTGTTGACCATTCCCTAGAGTGACTTGAGTGGTGCTAGTATACGGTTGAGAGTATTGAAGATTGGTTGGGTTGGAGGTAATATGCGAAGACACGCCACTGTCGAGGAACCATTCGGTGGAGGAGTTGGCGGCCGGGGAGGTGAAGAGAGCAGCGGACGGTTGTTTGGTGTTGTAGTCTTCGTCATGACGGTACCAACATTTAACTGCAGAATGCCCGTTCTTGCTGTAGATTTGGCAAGTAATTGTGGATCTTGCAGTTCTTGTGCCGCGATTGGTTGTGGTGTTAAATCGATTGCTGGAGTTCCGTCCGTGATTGGATGAGGATCTGTCGCGACCTCGACCGCGAGGAGCAGCGAGCTCCGTGGTGTTCCCGGCAAGTTGAAGAGATTGAAGCTCACGGGTGGCTTCATGAGCAATGTTGAGTTCCTCGCTGCAAAATAGCGTATACAGTTCATCAAGATCGATGGGTTGACGACTGGTGCGTATCGCCGTTTTAAAGGCTTGATACGTCTGAGGGAGGCCATCCAAGGTGTAATGGATAACTTCTTCAATAGGAATGATGGCGCCGGCGGCAGCAAGAGCATCTACCTTGGCCTTGATGTCCAGTAGATATTGGGACATCTTTTTATCTTTCATTGTGAGGTAGTGGAGTTCGTGCCGAAGTTGAATGATTCTTGATCGTGTGCTCGATTGTAGACGACGATCAAGAATGACCCAGATTTCTGAGCAGTGTTCGGCGGAGAGTACATACGGCAGGATAGTGGGCGATATAATGGAATACATGGCAGCAGCAAGATTTTGATCTTGTAAGAGCCAGGCTTCGTATAGGGGGTTGGAGATGATGGAGCCGTCAGCGTTCGTCGTTTGTGGTGGCGGAGGGGAGGTACCATCCAAGAATCCCTGGTAGCCGTTGGCCTTGAAGAGTTTGAGTACCTGGGAGCGCCATAGTGGGTGATTTTCGGCGTTGAGAGGTTGGGCGACAACGCTTTTGAGGTGGCTCATAAGGAATTTTAGAGACGCCGGGATTGATGGTGGGTGGGGGGGGGGGGCAGCCATGGGGTTCCGCCCCTGATTGTTTGATAAGATTTGCTACATATATTATTTGCATTCAAACATAAATCAATGAGATTTGTTTTTATTCTTGATTTTTTTTACTTATATGCTATGAACCGGAAATATGTCATTGCCTTTTACTATGGCTATATTATATTCGTGCTGTTCATATGGGAGATTTGATTTACTACTTGTTAGAAGTTTAGCTTTGAAATTTGCATAGTCTAACATAAGATTAGAATCCATACAAGAACCTAGTGCTCACAGTAAAATGAAAAAGTTTGAATGTATTTAGTAAGCATGCATTTGAGAAATAATGTAATGGCATGATCTTTGCTTTAGTAGTCATAAAATTGTATAATGAAACCCAGAGTGACTTTATGAATAAGGATGAGATGATTTTAATGACATTTGTATTGATAAACTTTGAAATGAATTATTACCACTTAAGAAATTACCTAATTTGTGATTTTTCTAAGAAATGATTTATTAGGAAAGCGCGAGTCCTTGCATTGTACTTGATTTATTTAAAGCTATTTTATTGTAGAACGGGTCAATGGACAAGTTTAGCTCATAGTGTGCGTGAAAAGTTAGACATTCCTTGGAATCATATAGTGAGAGTCAAAGGTGCTGATGAAAAAAAAAAGTAATTTAAATACCTACATTACGGGATTACTTATAAAAGTGGAGGTATTAGTATGATGAAATAATATCTAGTAGGAATCAAATGTAATATTGCTTCATACAAAAAGTCTCACATGGTGTTTATCATCAAATGTAAAAAAATTTGAAAGAAATAGGTAAGATAAAATAATAAACACTGGTGGAGTTTGAGCAGAGTACAATTGTGTTTGTTGATGAACCTATGAATGAAGAAAGAGGATCTTCGTCACTTCCCAAATCATAGTCTTCAGATACACAACATGAAAGCATTGATGGAGGAAAAAAGATGAGATATGACTCGGGAAGTGTTAAACTAGGCTCCCAACCATTTTTGAAAAAGTGTTATAGCATCCAAAGATGCTATACACAGTGCTAATTTGATAGTAGCAAGGTATTTTTATGTTAGCTGGATCCCATTTAATGTCATAAATTTTGATTTTGTACCAAAGGCAATTGATGCTATAGGCCTATAGTTATAATTGGACCTGGGTAAAAACTACCATCATACTAAAAATTGAGAGTGAATCATACAAAAGATCATAAATAGAAATATGTCGCACACTCATGACTGATGGTTTGATAAATAACAGAAATAAGATATTGCTTAATTTTCTTGTGTACTATTTAAGGGTAATAAATTTATTGAAATGTGTGGATGCTTCTGATATTATAAATGATGTCACAACTTTGTGTTCATTATTTGTGATGTTGTGGAGTGGATAAGATCATAGAATATTGTGCAGCTGATAACTGATAATGAGCAAACTACAAGAAGACAGGGAAACTACTACATGAAAGATTTGATAATATATATTGATATTCATTTTCTATTTATTGCTTAAATTTTATTCTTAAAGATATTGAATATATGCTACATATTCATGAACTTGCAAGAAAAGTATCAAAAGTTATCATTTTAGTTTACAATTATATTTTCATTTTGGCTGGTTAAAAAAAAGAGGGCTAGTTGAAAGGAAATTATTAGGTCTGGAGCTACTACATTTGTTACAACAATTATCACTTTGAAAAACATATATCATTATAAGCTCGACTTGTAGGCTTTTATAACAAACAAAGTTTACTTTGATTCCAATATATCCAAAATAGAAAAAGAAAAAGAAGTATCATCAATCATTTTATATGTAATATTTTGGAATGATTGTTTATTAACATCCAAATTATTTAGGCATTTAATTCAGTTATTAAGAATTGTTGATTTTAATAAAAAATCATCTCTAGTGTTTCTTTATGATGATATGTACAAAGTAAGTAGAGCTATTAAGTCCATATTAAAAAATGTCAAAAAAAAATTAAAAAAAAATAAAGGGACAAATCTTACATAAGTATTATAAAGAGAAGATAAGATAATCACCTAAGATAAGACATACATTGTGCAACATATTTTCTTAATCCTTATTTTCAATATGATAATTTTTTTTGTCAGAAACCTGAAATGATGTAAGGTTTAATCGAGTTGATTGTAAATAAAGAGATATGTTATAAACTATCATTATCAATGAATGAGATTAAGCTTTTCATGATAATTTAAAAAGCTTTGGAAAATCAATCACATTAATAATGACCAAAGAAATGCAGTCTCGTAAGTTAAGTAACAATTTATATATATATTTATTCTTCCATGTATATCAATCACCTATTAACTAACTAATACTTGACTATTTATAGATGAATGATGGAAGATGTTTAGCACAAGTGCATCAAATTTGTAGAAATTGATTGATAGGATTTTTAGGCGAACTTCTTTATCTTATGAATGTGAAATAAATAGGAGTGTATTTGAGCACATGCACACCATGTAACAAAATCATCTAGAGCATTAAAGGCTCAATAATCTTGTATTTGTTCCGGGCAATATCAATTTAAGGTATAGAAATGACTTTTAATTATATTTAAATATTCATATATACAAAGATGCATAATATTTTTATAATGATTCTTATTAGTTTTTGATGTGGGAACATTTTAGCCTATCTTATGCTTAGGGACTAGTTTATATCCTTTAGTCTAGAGTCTTCTATTTGCTCCCTTAAATAGGTATAATGTATGGTTTTTGAGGCATTGAATGATATAAACTCTTTTGAAGCTTTGAGAAAGCTCTCTTCTTCTTCCCTGGATTGGGAAACTCCTTGAAATTCTTCTTGCAGGTTTGATCTTCCGACGATCCACTACATCAGTTTTTTAGGTTTTAAAATAAAAGAAAACTATGATGCTTTGGATTACAAAAATATACGAATGATGGGTTTATGGGTGTTTGATGACGAATCAGTTCCAGAACTTGTTTTGGAGAATTTAGAGATATAAATTTATGTAAATAATGCTACACCTATTGCTGAAGAAGTAAATATTAGTTGTATTAGAGAACCTCAAACTAAGTTGTCGATTAGATTAAGTTATATCACTTAAAAAAAGTTGATTAATTTAGATATAATGTTTTATATTTCTATTATGCAGATGATGATTTCTTATAGATGAAAATAATTTGAATTTTGTTTCGATATTTTTAAAATGTTAAATGCTTGCAATTGCAATGAAGTTAAAAAAAAAAAAAAATTCGAACAATGATTTAGATGTAATTAGATGAATTTAAAATTTGTGAGATTATATTATAATTAATAAAATTTAAAATAGTAAACCTAACACTAATTTCAATATAGAGCTTAAAATTTTTAAATTTCATGCTGTCTCACAATTTATTATCCAGTAAAACGCCAGGTTCGACAGCTTTCGGCACGTGCGCGAGTTCCTTTTAACTTAAACCGGTGATCCTCGACTTACCAAATAAGCCAATTATATCACAACACGTGTCTAATCCAGCACCGCTTGATCGCCGATAGTTGATCAGCGCACCATGATTTGCCAACAGAGCAATCCGGAACTCTCAACTCCTTCCAATGAAATTACCCCCTCATTCTTCTATAAATTAAAAATGATGATTTTGAAAATCCATCCATCCCCTCTCATTTCTTGAAACGCTGAGGCAATGGCGCCCAAAGCAGAGAAGAAGGTAGCAGAGAAGAAGCCCGTGGCGGAAGAGAAAGCGCCGGCGGAGAAGAAGCCAGCCGAGAAGAAGCCGAAGGCGGAGAAACGACTTCCAACCAAGGAAGGCGGTGACAAGAAGAAGAAAAAGAAGGCTAAGAGGAGTTCCGAGACTTACAAGATCTACATCTTCAAGGTTCTGAAGCAGGTGCACCCTGACATTGGGATCTCAAGCAAGGCAATGAGTATTATGAACTCCTTCATTAATGATATCTTTGAGAAGCTCGCTCAGGAGAGTTCTCGTCTCGGCCGCTACAACAAGAAGTCGACCATCACGTCTCGCGAGATTCAGACTTCTGTACGCCTGGTTCTTCCTGGTGAGCTGGCCAAGCATGCGGTGTCCGAGGGTACCAAAGCTGTTACCAAGTTTACTAGCAGTTGAAGTTTTGCTGTGGTTGCTTGTTTAAGAGTGACTGATTATCTAATGTGTTTTGGAATGGATGGTGTATGATATGTGGGTTTGACTGAAAAACAGTTTTTAATGTGAAATTCCGTATCTTTATGGTTACTGAAATTTTATCTTTGATTTTGTGATGGATCAGATTTTTGGCTGAATCTTTTTCTTTAAATTTTAATTTTTGGCCCAGTTTATCGTTTTCCGCACGAAAGCTTCTTGTACTCAGCTTAGGGAGACTGTTTGGCATCCAGTGGACTTTACAAATCCTGTAAAGTTTATCTAAGTATACTGTGCCGTTAACAGTGTTTGAATAGTAATTGTTTTAGTACGATAATTAATACGCGACGTCTCTCTATGGCCTTGAAAATTCTTCAAATTAAAACTTCTTTATAACCTTCGAGCATCTTCTTGACGTAGTGGGGAAGTATGTCGTCTATTGTAGACAATAGATTTATTTATTTTTTTATTTATGTTAGAAAATTTGCATGCTTTGAATTAAAAAATCAGGACTTGTGGGAAAAGAACTGTAGAATATTTAAAAGTTTTTTATATTGAAAATTAAAGTGAAAATCTGACAGGTTTTATCTAGTTAAAATATCCTAAGGAGATAAAAGAACTGTTTTTATTTCTCATAGTTGAGAAAGAGAAAAGAGAGTTATTAGATATAAAGTGTTTGTGAACTTTTAAAAAACTTTTTATTTTTTAAAATTAATTTAAAGAGCTGATTTACAAAGTAATTTAAGGGCGAAATTGTCAGCATTTTGAATGCCTCATTGGATTTGCCGTTTTAAGTTAAAGGAAATAAAAACATGTGAATGTGGAGAGAGAGAGAGAAACAGAGAGACGGGGAACAGAAACTCCCCCAGAGAGAGAAGTAAAGAGGACGGGATATTAAACTAAAGTTCAATTCAAAGAAAAAAAATAAAAAGTTTATTTTGATATTTATTAGTTAAATTTTTATGCATTTTTAAATTTTATTAAATTAAAGTTTCTGTTTTTTTAATTTTAAACTGTATATTTTAAAAGCATTTTGGTTATATTTAAAATTAATGTTAACATTTCAAAATAAAACTCAAACATCATTTGTAAATTTAATAT